AAAGACCTACAGGACTTTATCGCCAATCTAAGTGAACTTCGTCGATTGCTAACCGTACAGTTCGAATACGAGGAGGAGGAAGTGCTGAAGGGTTGTTTATGGTAATGGCGGTGACCGTCGGGTATTGTTTAGTCAGTTGTGGTTGCGTTCACGTACTCCTCTTAGGCATATGATGAACAACAAGATCTTCTTCCAGCATCCAGACTTGATGAGTATGTTGAGGGTACACGAAAATGTTATGTCGATCATGATGAATGTTCTGAACCGGAGACATCAGGCGCTCAGCTCTGCGGCGCACCAGTCGTCACGTGGTTCCGAAACTGCACAAAATTGCGTTGAGGTCTGACAGTCAAGCTGTTTGAATTATTTGGCCATTGTCAATTGGCAGCAACAAATGGGAATGCTTCTAGGAGAGAATTTCGGCAATGGTTGTCGCTTGCTGTAAGTTCCTGTGCTACTTTTGCCGCACGTCGACTCAGAACCAAAAGGCGATGTTCGAGCATCTACCGTTTCTGCTCGATAACGCGAATATGCTGTTGGCAAAGCCGAGTTTCAGGGGTTCAGTGCCGCTGGACGTTGCCTACTACTCCTTCATGGACAACAGCGAACTGGCGCTCGCATTGAAAGAGGACGAGTTGGAAAAAGTGACGACGTATCTCTCGCGCTGCGGATTGCAGGTAACCCGCTATCCTGTCCCCTGTGATTTTTTTTGCTGAATGCTCATCAAACAAATTCAGCCGAACGCTGAAATGATCGCCAAAGGCTACCCGGACATTGGATGGGATCCGGTCGAGGGCGAACGTTACGTTGATTTCCTTCGTTTTTGCGTATGGGTGCATGGTGAGTAGCTTATGATTGAATTGGAATGACTGAGACTTGAGCACTCGACAAATACAAGCTTTGTAAAGCAATAATTGACAAGTGTTGTGTCACTGGTACCACCGTTAGATCGTTAACTCACTTTTTTGAAAATACCTATATTATTTACCAATTTAATGATAATAATGATGAAAAGATTCGCCAAACTATGTTTTCCCAGATTGAAAAGTCACAGCTGCGATTGTTTGGGCACGTCTTACTAATGTCTCCAGAAATAGAGACGAAAGAGCAATTACTTTCTCAGTTGACTGGCAGAGGACCCCGGGGAAGGCCAAGCATGACGGCGGACTCTGCTCCAAAGTCAGGTTAATTCTGATGAAGTTCGAAAGTTGGAACAGAATGGAGAACGTTGAAGACACCGTCCAAGTGTCTGCTCCACAACCCAAAAAGGATAAGCAGTCATCCTAATTATACTGATTAATAATAAAACGGGATCACCATTGCCTATTCTCGACCCTTCCCCTCGTTTATCTATTTCGTATAATCTGTCGCCACGAGCTTTCATGTTTTTCTTTTAGCTCAGCGTCCAATCTGAGCCGTTCTTCCAATTTGGGCATTTGCGGCCCCTTGGGTACCAATTCGTCACTGCTGAAATTCATCTATCATCCATCAATCGGGCGATGCTGTTTTCCGTAGTTTCTACAACTGCAACTGCAATCTCACTACAACTGCATGGAGGGGACTGAGAGATGTTTAAGTTTGTGCTTTCTATTTCATTCATTCTTTGCACATGGCCTCTGCTGCTGTCCACGCTTGCCAAACATCTTTGATAGAACGTCAATTTGCCCTTCACCCCCGCCAAATAGGGTCCCAGGAGGTGACGTCCATCCGCTTGGAGGTTTTTTCATTAGCATCTGATAGTCTACCTCTTTTCCGGCGGTTTCTTCTACGCATCGTTGAGCGGTGCCTCATTTCGAGGAAATATATCAGGATAACTCGATAATAAATAAAAATGCTGGGAAAGTAAGGCTGTTAATTGCATGTCTAAATCGCTAAGATAAAGCTTGTTCTTTTAAACGATTTTCTCCTTTTGTTGCACCGTTTTTTATCAATACGATGAGGAACTGATTTTTACTTCGGAGCCATCAGCTAGGACCTATCCGTTGTCAACCCCGCAGATCATTTGACTGGCTAGAGTATTTACATATCCTCGTACAACTTCGCTATTTGCCTCTAACCATAACTGACAGAAGAAGAAACCATGAGTGTCCATTTTTGAACCCAATATCTCCGTCTATGGATAATAACCTAAGAATTAGATCATTAAATGATGTCATGCATAGTTGGATGTTTATCCTGGAGCCGCTAAGTTAGGTGTGATGGTTCATCTTGAATTAATTAATCGGCTAAGGAAGGTCTAGTGCTCTCCGCATGCCTTTTCTCTCTGCCCAAGAAATAAACATTCTGATCAATAATCCTGAAGGAAGGTTTGTTTAATGTTTGCACTAATGTCTGAAGAGAGCGGGCAGCAAAGAATGAATTACTGTCTTATCGTACCATTCATTTGTTCGTAAGCGAGGTGAGAACTGAAACTGATTATGAGCCTCCTCTCCTTGGTTACGTCTGGAAGGTGAGAAAACGTCATTCTCCAACAACACATGAAGTTCTCCGGTTTCGTTTTACGTTTGTATATTGATTTCAACGGAAGGACTTCATGACAGCATCATTCAGTATTCTCTATGAATATTATGCAAGATGATGCTGTTCCCTGCTTTCAGCACATATGAGGTGCACGACAGCAAGAAAATGGTAGCGTAGTTCATTTAGAAATCAAAATAAGACATTTAAACGCAGGAGATCACTAACGGTGCGAATTTTACGGAGTATCACGGCTTTATGATGTGTAGTTCGTTTTGGGGTTGATATATTTCCCTCCCTTTCAGAACTTTGAAAATGATACGTTGTTCAGTCTGGGCATAAAGCGGATAGATGATATGTTTCAGTACCTCTTCAGTGAAGGATTCGTAACTGTCATACACAGTCTGCACAATGGCCTTAGTCACAAGATCCATTCCAGTCCTCCAGAACTCGAGACTGTTCTAATATTTCACTGCAGGAGCGAAAACTCGTCTCATTAATGATCTAAGATAGAAAGGATTTGCACAGATTTTAATGGGCGTTATATGACCTTTTAATCTTCACCATTTGTATGGAAAAAGTAGCAAACAGGTGATTCATTTAATCCTGTAAAAAATGGAATAAATAGCACATTAATTTGCACATTTTACATGTCCTAGGCGAAACCGTTGGTGAAAATGCGAACTTAGTGATTCGACTGCTCATCCGGAAACCAGAATGTTTGGGCCCAGGTCTGAAGAGCGAAGGCGATGGCTTGTTCAAAGCGTTCAAGGAGGCGATTCGCATGTCTGAGCGAATCTCGCAGATTCGCAGGGGCGGCGAGGTGCGCAACCTCGTTGACTGCGGCACGTTAATGCGATACCCGTCGCCGGATGATGAGGGAGAAGACTACATCGACATCGGCGCCGCCATCCTAGCCTTCTACTCAAGCCTGGTCGACTTGTTGGGCAAGTGCGCACCAGAACCGGTCAGCTTGAACGCGGCTAAGAGCGAATCGGTGCGCATCCGAGCCATTCTTCGATCGTTGATATCCGTCGATGACCTGCGATCTATCCTCTCCTTGCTGTTCACGATTCCAAACGTGTTTCAATTGAAGGAAGAATATACAAACGGTAGGGACTAGGCGAACGATCCGCACAGTTTGCAAGTGAATCGGAATTACCACGATTTTGTAGATGACCAGGACCAGTCCGTCGGACTGCTGCCTTTGCACAAACAGTCAGTACTGTTGTTTCTGGATCGCGTGTACGACATCAACGACCGAACGTTCTTGTTCAAACTTTTGGAGAAAAGCTTTATCCTCGATTTTCGTGCGGCTACGATGCTCGATCACGTAAGCAGGCTGAGTTCACGTTGTTGGGGGATGAATTGTTCCTCGGTTTTGACTTTATTCGATTTCAGCCGATGGTCGCCGAGACGGACATGGCGTTAGCCCTCAACCGCTACCTGTGCAACGCGGTTCTGCCACTGCTCACTAATCACTCAAAGTTCTTCGCTGATGCAGAGCACTACGAGTCGCTCATCGAGGCCACTCTGCACACCGTCTATCGTATGAGCAAGATAAAGTCGCTGACGAAGAAGCAACGAGCGGCCGTCACTGATTTCCTGATCGCCGTCACAAAGTAAGTGACTCTCTCGGCGACATCTGTTGCGTACCTTGGTTCTTCAAACAAATATTGCAGCCTGCTGTACGTACGGCTCTACTCATCTGGGAATCTCTTTTTCAGCGTCCTGAAAATTTGTCATGCATGCCTCAGAATTAGAAGGAAGACAAGTTGTACCTCACGCTACACTTTCCAACCATTGAGTACAGGAAATTAGCATTATCCACGACACCGGAGGACTGCCCTTCTATTTTCTTTCTGGTTTGAAAGAAGGACCGACAAACGCGATCATATCAGTTCCATCAGTTCACGGAATTTACCACAGATGATAAATGTCAAACCACGAACTTCTGGGTGAACTGATTGCCCTGAATGATAGCAGTTTTGACAGCTTAGTTTTTACTCTGGCGTGCAGTGGCTACAATGGTCAGAACTACTAAGGGTTATCGCTTTTCCAGAGCAACCATGGCATCTTCTAGCTTGCTATCTTCCATCTGTGAAGTTCTTCTTTATGTCATAAGAGCGAGGCCGCCAATGAATCATTTTATCAACACACCCCATTATTCTGCCGGATTTTTCATGTTTTGATCAGTCAGATGGCGAAAGAAAGCATATTTTGTGCTCAGTTTCTTGCTATCGCCAATCCTCCAAGTTTTTCGAGTTTTGCAATTCTTTTTACTGACGAGTCCTCACGTTTTGTTTTATGGTCAGTGCAACCCTTCTATAGAATACCGTTGCAACCCAGTGGAAAAATACCTTAATCTTATCAATCTCTCTGTTCGGTTTATAATTAGAGTGTTCTTCTCCTCGACAGATCTGCCTTAAAGACGTAAACAGGTCCATCAGCCTGATACTGCCAATGCATTATTAGCTGACTAGTTCAGGTTTCATGACAGGTCTTCACGGCTGTGGAAGATGTGCCGGGACATATTTCTCTCTGGTTACGAGCCTTTGCAATGGTCGTTGCTTTCTGTTGGTAAAAGATGGATTTACTAACAGCATATTTTGTAGATGAAGGCATAAGATGGGGATAAAATGTCATATTCTCCGCTGATTGAATGGACAAGATTTGCGAAATTACTGCCAAAATTTGAATTTAGTCTCGTCTCTCTGAGTGGATGGCGTTTTCAATTTTCAGTGCAATAGAGCATTATTCAACAAAGATATATTTCAACATGCATCATATTGATTCCCGATTTATGTCTATTTCCTGATGAGCTGAGGGCACAGTAGTTCTGCAGGAGCCTGTTCCAATAGGAAGAGGCGATGATTGTCTGCTATTTGTCAATAATGTATGTCCATGACCACATCCTAGTAAAATGCTTCACTTCTCTGAAACTATTGGGCTGGTTGAAAGTTAGAGAAAAATCGACAATACGTTTAATTGGTACCGAACTACCATTAGCCAAGAAACGGTCAAGAATAGAGAAGATTGCGGGAACGGAATAGCGTTCGTCATGTGCCCACAAGATTTGTCAGAAAAGGATTTAGACCCATATTACATAACAACATATTAGTTGGTTCCCATTTCATACAAAATTCATTATCATCATCATCATCTTCCATCGCCGCTTCTCCTTTCGGGTCGCGGAGGCAGACGCGTCAGACAGTGC